AATTATTCTGAATTTAGGGGGGTACATTGAGCATTTTTTCTGATTTAGGGGGGTCTCCAATGCAAAAAAAGCCCGCGAAAAGCCCGCGAAAGGGGGGTTCGGAAATGTTGGCAGTCCTCAGATAGGGGGTGCTTTCAAAAAGAGGGTACGAGCATAATTATGCGTACCCTAAATAACACTGAGTGGGGGGGGGGGGGGCCGGGAGCAAAGCATACCGATTTTGTATGAAATAATATTGCCCCGGAATTTTATATACATCTCAATTTTCGTGTAATAGGCCTACCCAACCCTACAAAATGTGTATTGCTTGTTGATTTTATTCTAGCATGTCTCAGCTGTAATATACAAGCTAGGTACATAACAATTATATATTATTAATAAAAGTCAAAATGCGTACATAATCATGTCATAATATAAATCATTTATACTTTTTTTTAAACACATAGTTGACAAATCATGTCAACATTGAAAAATGCAGGAGAAGAGCTTAAACGTGATGATTGCGGCCTCACGATTGAATTGTTATTGAATAATATGATTTTCCCAGTTACATTTACATTATACGAATGAATTAATTTCATCTCTTTTCTTTAAATCTCAGGAAACAGATTTACGATTTTATTTCATGGAGTAGTCGGTCTTATTAATTAAGTGTTATAATTCGTACTTACTTTTTACATATATGTTAATATTGCATTATTAAAAATAAGCACGGTATGTATCTACCAAGAGTTTTATAGTAATTAGACAGGGTTTATTTTAAACCGATTTGTATAATATATTTCTTTACGCAATTTGAACTTTCATGTTATTTCTAATCCAGATTATTGCTGCAAAACTTGTTGTCTAATAAACCATTTTTTATTGAATTGAATGAGATTTAAAGTTTCTTTGCATCAATCTAATGTGTTATTGACATGTTTGCTGAATACCCAATTTGTATATGGTTGCGGGTTTTCTGTCATATTTTATTTCCGTTATCATACTGTATTATAGATGTATTACTAAAACTTGTTGTTATGATGATTATAAGGTATCTTGTAATATATGTATTATTTAATCAACATTATTTTGTATATGTTATATCAGGGATACATCAGGATTTCTCAAACCGTTATTGCTACATCACCATCTTCGTTTAGTTTTGTCAACTGTCCTTGTTTGATTATAGTTTATTATTTAAGCAATGGTCATTAAATTCGATATAATTGGAGATATATTGTGACTTGGCAGGCATCATTACACGGTCTGCAGTTGCGTATCTACGGGGGGGGGGGGGGGGGGGGGGGGGGGGGGGGGGGGGGGGGGGGGGGGGGGGGGGGGTAAGAGGACACTTTTTTTTTTTTTTTTTGGTCTCGAAATTTGGAAATTTGACATTTTGCTCCGTTGGGGGGGGGGTTAAGGTCACCTTTTTTAGGTCGGCCATGGGAATAATTTTTTTTTATTTTTATTTTTTTAATAATTAAAAAAAAAAAAAAAAAAATCCAAAAGGGGGGGGGGGGGGTTTTAGGTTTTTTTTAGGGGGGTTTTACACACAAAAAATTTCCAAAGGGGGGGTTTAACCCCCAAACCCCCCCCCCCCCCCTCTGCGTACGCGCCTGATTCTCACAGAATCAAACGAAACTTACACTGAATGCTCAAGATTACAAATAAATGTCATTTGCCAGACAATTTGGTAGAAAACATATACTGGCTGAGTAATAAGCATAGAAAGATATTAAGGAAATCAAGGTACCGACAACATGTGTGTAGCCTCATCTTTCTGTGTACAGTGCTTGTTACTTTACCGGGACTGGGCCAAATTTATTATGATTTTGATGACTCCAGAACATTGCAGTACACACCAATACTTGCTACATGATCAATTTGTTTTGATCCATTCCACACCTTTTCTTTCACAATGCAATCGCATGACCAGAACTCAACTTTATCTTTAAGGGTTTAAATGCTTAAACAGCTCGGTCGCTATACTCGCTCGTTCGGGATCTCGTAAAAATATACCGGTTGGTCGCTTTTCTCCCTCGCTTGTTCAGGTTTTGGGAGGGGGAAGGCACAATTTCATTGTCTGCCCCTGACACCACAATACTTAATTGATGGTCTTATTCACATGGGGGGCGCACTAACTCTGAGTCATATTCTGATATAGGATCTCTATGCTCGGAGCAGAACTTCACCGATATAGAATGAATATTCTCTCATTTTCGATGCATTTTCGACTACGAGTACCTCTTCACTCTTCAGTAGGGAATGCATCAATGTCTCTTCGCCACATAATACCCATGCCTGTATCTGAACCGAGCAGCAAGAGGAAGAGCAAATAATCTTTTTTTTTAAGGGTCAAGGGGTGTACAAAGGGTTGTCCCAAGATTAATTATTGAAGAAAAAAAACGAGGAAGAATGAAAAATGGAAAGAAGAAGAATGAAGAATGTATAGAGAGAGGGAGAGGGAAAGAGAGAGAAAGTTGTTCGTCGGCCCTCTTTGAAATCGATCCATACATACTACCTTATCAGTCTGAGAATCCTGGACCCGTCACTAACGACGGCTTCATCTCTCCAAGAAACAATTTAAAGACATTGGCAGTAATCAGTATTCTTTTCATTACCCAAAAGTGACCCTATAAAATAATGACGATCTTAGTTTAAATAAATATGTAGGAGACATTTTGATCGACCCTAAATAAAAAAATAAAAAACTCTCAATAATTGTAAAAAATGGAAAGAATTGTTTTATGCCAGGTAAAGTAACGTGTTTCCAGAAATAATTAAGCGGGCACTGGTTTCATTGGCGGAGGGGGGGGGGGGGTGGGGTACGGGTCTTACTTGTAAACTGCCTTATTAAATTTACAAGAGGGTGCTCGACTGAGGGTCCTATCATCTTTTCTCATCCATTTTTCCGTATCTGGACACCTACCCCATGGACATCCACCCCCAGATAACCACCCCCTTGGAGAATGGTTGTCTTAGGGGGTAGTTGTCTTGGGTGTAGTTGTCCGGGGGTAGTTGAGGGGGTACTAGGAGGTGGTTGTGCTTCGGGCCGGGGGGGGGGGGGTACTCGCATATGCCTTATTAAATTTACAAGAGGGTGCTCGACTGAGGGTCCTATCATCTTTTCTCATCCATTTTTCCGTATCTGGACACCTACCCCATGGACATCCACCCCCAGATAACCACCCCTTGGAGAATGGTTGTCTTAGGGGGTAGTTGTCTTGGGTGTAGTTGTCCGGGGGTAGTTGAGGGGGTACTAGGAGGTGGTTGTGCTTCGGGCCGGGGGGGGGGGGGTACTCGCATATAAGAACATACGGGGGTGTTGCACTCTAATGGGTCACCTTTTCACACAAAATCCCAGAACATGGGTCCCACATTTAACAAAAATACCGTTAAAAATGGGTCCGTTCTTTCAAATTTCCCAAATTTCCAAAATTTTCGTGTGCTTGCAATGCAAACAACCAAAAAACACCCGAAAATTGTGGGAAATTTTTTCAAAAAAAAAAAATGCCCCCGAATTACCTCTAATAATGAGTAGGGGTTTCGAGGCTTAAACGGCACACTCCCATCCTAACCAAATCTGAGTAGGACCCCCTCCCCCCTTGGGCAGGCGCGCCGGAAGCAGTTTTGATTGGGGGGGGCGCAAACATTCTAGGGGGCTCACCTTCAAGGGGCAGTGGCGTAATGAGCAAAAACGTTTGAAAGGAGGGCAGAAGAAAAATTTGCGTCACCATCACTCTTACACGTTACATGCAGTCCCCGCAGAACGTTTTTCAAAGTGGAGTACTAACGATCAGGAAGAGCGTAAATTGGCGTGGGGTCCAGGGCCTGAGCCCCCGGAAGCTCAGATTTTTTAGGCATTACATTACGGTCAGATAAGCATATTTAGATACCTTATTTGTGGCAGCTCTCTAATTGGCGGGGAGTCCAGGGGGCAGAGCCCCCGGAAGCCAAGGGCTTTTTAGGTATTTAATTACTGTCAGATGAGCATCCATTTGTCTGTCTTAGGGCCCTTGGTGGGGTCCGGGGGCGGAGCCCCCGTAAGCTCTAGGCATTAGGCATCTAAGCTTTAGGCATGAATTACGGTCAGATGAGCATATTTTGATACCTCATTTGTGACATTGGCAGGTCACTTATTTTTTCTCTGTCTTTTCTTTCTTTTTCTCTGTAACATACTTCAAAAAGTGAGGGGGGGGGGCTCGAGCCCCCGAGCCCAGCCGTTCTGCAGGCCCTGACAAAAAGGCTTCTTATTAAGCATATATTTCGCCTGACTTTAAATTTGGGAATTTCTAATTTTTCAACAAACGCATTAAAAAGGTATGACTTACACAAAAATTGACAAAAAAATCCTGGAAAATCATGTCATTTCAGCAACATTTTGTAAATCACCGGTATCGAATAAGAAATGACCTACCCCCCCCCCTCCCCATCAGTACGCCATCATGCAGGGGGCAGGGGCACATGTCTTCTCACCCTATAACAAAAAACACACACGCTTTCCCATCCTTTCACAATATGCCCACGATATGCGCGTATCGCTAATATAAACACCTCCATATAGGTGGCATGCGGAATGTTTAGGAAATTTAATTCCTGTTAATTTTCCTTTTCTTTGAATGGAATTAAATATATGATTTAATTCTGGTTTGTATTATTGTTATGCTCTTTTGGCTTAAAAATACAAACCATCTTTACTCCTTTACTGCTTTTCTTCTTCTTTTTTTTGGAGGGGAGGGGGGCGTTGGGGGGGGGGGGGTAAAAATTAGTTTTGCTCCCCACCCCCACTTTTTTTGGTTGGGGGGGAGGTGCCCCCATGCCACCCCACTTCCGGTGCCTATGCCCTCGTGGGTAAATGTCCCGCTGGTAATATTGGCCGGGTGTGATTGACAGGGGTACGTAGGCTAATTGTCCTAGAACCTATAAAAGGCTATACCTGTACCGCTCCTGTATTATAAGTGGCGACCGCCAGATAATTCACATGGTGGCACTATAGGCCTAATGGGCTTCCGTAACACTGTCCCTACTGTCCCAGGTGCAAAGGTGTGTTTGGAGCAAGTTGGCTACCAATGCCTGGAAGTGCGTCTATGCCCTGTTGTCTATAGATGTAGATACGGCTGCCCAGGGAGGTGAGACTTTAACTCACATGCCCTGGGCTGCCGTAGCTATTCAGTGGTCGGCCATGTTATTTTGTCAGCTTAAATGTAAACACGGATTCGGTGAACACTCCTTTGGTCAGCATCTTCTTTAAATATCAATCCCATGCCTTTTTGGTTAAGCGTTGAAACGGAAAACTGACTCCACATTTGCAGCAGGCTAACGGAAATAACTTGCATGCCTTGGCTAAAGACTAGCCTATCCATATATTTATTATGATAGAAATTTCATCGGACTGATAGTCTATAGAAGACGACGTGATTCCAGATGCATTATTCGTGTCCTAATCGTCGACTAGATCGGTCTCTTCTTAACTTGTGATGCTACAAGTTTGTGCTCCATGTTCAATTCTTCTTTCATTTTCAGTCGAGCCGCACGTACGCGAACTGCTGTGATTTAGCGAATTCATAAAACCGGCCGTGGTATGACAAAAGTTCCGCAGCTTCCCTCTCGATCTCATCTCAGACTTCAGAGACAATCAAGGCACGGAACTCACTTGGAAAACAAATCGTTTACATTTCATGATTTACAAGCACATTGTTAGAGTATATCCCAGGCAAAGCACGGCATGGTCAAGGTAGGTTAAATATTGAATAGACCCAGGGAGATGTGACTTGTGAGGGAGACCGAAAGTTAGACCGATACTCGATAGTGATACCAGGTTAGAGCAAATTACAGTTCAGTCGACTCTAATTTAGTATTAATCATTACAGCCAGTCCAGATCGAAGTTGCATCATGACTCCTCGTGTTTCCCGTCGCAACTTAAGTAAACATTGATTGATTATCGCGGTCAATAATGAGAGCTTCTGTATAGCCTACAACACTTAGTTTTAGTATCAGTAAGACAGTATCATCATTGTCATTGTTTGGAATGAATGCACGGAGCATGGCTACGCTGTGAAGACGACAAAACCGGATCTATGTCCATGAGCTTATCACTGAGTGAAAGAATACTTCTTTAAAATTGCGTCCGGCCTACTTATACAATCTACAGTAGATCTAGAACTTAATTGGTGCATGCATGTACCGGTTCAGCAACGACGAACATTTTCATTACAACTAGCCTACAGTATACAGCCTTGCGCACGGGCCAGGCACGGCTCTCCATCTTCATACCATTTGACCCTTCCGCGATCAGTTGGAATTATATTTAAATTTTGCAGGTGGACCTCAAATTAAGTCAGAACTGAGCTGACAGCATCACCATGTTCACGCATTAGACTAACAGACCGTTGAGAGAACTATTTGTGATCTATCTTGTCTCGACCAGCAGATGTTACTTTTGGAGGTGAATGAAAAGGATTTAGATCTACAGAGAACTCGTCGAGCTTTGGCTTTTGAATAGATCCAAATTTAGGTCTAGGTCTACATCTCAACAAATCTAGACCCTAGATTTGGTCTATATCAATCATTGTTAATTTAAATTTGAGAAATCAACATTCTCTTCATACCATATTGTATGCAATATATCATCGGATTTGTGAACTGTTCAAAGTATATCACCTGGCTCAGGCACAACTTTCTATCCTCCCACAATGTTTCCCATACGGTCAAGATTTTCAATCAAGAAAGCTTTTTATATCATCTTGGGGATTCTTTTCATATTTTCGCTGCATCAAAATGGTGTGTTCCACGCGCCCGGACGATTCCTTATTCCAGAGGACGACCAGTATGCTGACGATGAAGTATACCATCAAAATTCACAAGATTTCAGGTACTGGTAACTGGCTTTTCTTGTCACGTTTTTTTAATTTCATTTATTTTAAAAATCTTTGTTGTTATTGGTCCCCTTCTTCCCCCTTCTTGTTGTTGATGTTGCTGTTCCTGTTCTGTTTCCCCCTTAGTCTTTTTTTTTATCGTTCTTGTTCCTCTCCTTGTTCGTGTTTTTCTTTTCCTCCTTCCTATACTTTTCTTTTAACGTAAATGTTCTCAACCGATATACATGTACGGGTATTCATAGGGAAAGCCCTAATGGCTTTATAATTATATGCTGGGGTAAAATTGAGAAGATGACCAATCGAGTAAGACACTCATTTGCATTTCAAGAGGTCTAGAAGCCTTCGGAGAGCGGGTATCCTTTTGTTTCCTTGTAGGTCTTCATATAGACAAGATATACTTCTGATAGGTGAATAAAAGGTACGAGATTCCTTTATTTGCTCATCGGCTTCCTGTCTCGGCCGTTTACATGCCGGAACATGACAGTTACAGTTACACGTATAAGTATCTATATGCCCAATACATGTAGTATCTTGCAAAAACTGAAAAAGGAACTGAATGTTTTCTTAAGTTATGTCCCAATTTTCCCAAAACAAAATCTGAGACTTGTTTCATAAAATTTGTTATCAATAACAAGATTTTCTGTTTTGACAAGAAGCATATCTAGAGAACCATCTATGAACACACTTCCTCTGTGTTGGGACAATGGATTCATGTCATGTATACAACACCACCAGAATGAGCATTCTAGCCTTCCAGCATAACATTCGTGAATGACCGTTTCTTTGAAGAAGAACAAATAACTTCTTGATTTTGATGGAATTGAACAAATGAAATTACAGTTAACAAAATTATTCATACCCCTTGTAAATGTCATGGGGGAATTTCAAGAAGCAAAATAAACAATGAACGGGTAAATAAAGAAAAATGTGTGCTTAAAGGTACTATGTCCCTTTTGCAGCCAACCTCAAATGCTGTAGAACTTTGCAGGAATTATGAATATGTCATGTTTGTCCTATCTGTGAAATTTAAACGTTAGCAGTGTCCTCATATTCAAATTATGCAAGGAAACCCGTTTACTTGCTAGACTTCACTGTCAGACACTGTCGAGTGACTGACTGGCTTTTTTTTCTTCTTTGGTAATAACATACATGAAAAGAATTGTAAAGGGTACATGAGCATTTGTCTACATCAATAACCCACTTCTTGTGATGGCCAAGATTAAATTGATTGAATCTTTGCGCAGCATAAAACGTATGACCATTCGGTACAATTGTCTGAAAATCAAGACTATTACTTTTGGGCTCTATAGCCCTAAAGTCGATTTGACAACTAATAGTCGTTATTTTCCCACTTGAAGACATTTTCAAGCCCCACCTTTTTTAGGGAAGTTCTAAATTAGTATTGTCTTTCAAATGCAGTTGGAATTTAACTTTTTCATTTTTTTGGCCTGCAAATGGGACATAGTAGCTTTAATGTAGACTACCTCAGTTCTCCTTGCATACATTTTTTTGTTTTCATTTTTCATTTTAATTCAGACTTGCATGATATCGATCGCTCTTTTAAAAAATGAATCACTCAAAAAAAGTAGCGTGTAAGCGCTTTATAGAGTTGAAAGCAAATTTATTTTTTGCCGGAATCGTGAATGTTGTTGTCAAATGTGAAAATATCATTCTTTCTAGACATACATACCGTACATGTAGCTACTTATCATCAGTGCACGCACATAATTATGTCGTTTGGAAAGACTATAGTCACCCAATTATTGTGAAGATGTAACTCGACAATGTCTTCATAAAGATGATTTATCCTAAAAACTGACCCCAAATTGTTATGAATTCACAGTCCTTGTGATGTCACATTGATAAAATTAGGCATAATTGCCTAATAAAATAAAAACAGATCTTTACGTAATTCATAGCTAATGAGCACTGTATACACAGCGGAGCAATATCGTGGCAAATGCCATCAATTTTAGCGATTTAACTGACTCACAATTTATCATAACTTCGCGTAATTATCCTATATACCTTTCGACTTCGGGATTTATTATCTCAAAGGTCATTAAGATTATATGTCATGCCTTTAAGTGCACTATCCAGTGGTATTATTCGCATTTTTTTTGTCAATTTTATAGTACAATGGGCTTAAAATGATACACGATGTGAGATGGCTAACGATATCAATGAAGACTCCTTGCAATATTATATGTAGACTTTGCAAAAAGACTCCTTGATGTTGGTGCGATCATTAAAGACGGTCTGTTAATTGAGTACATAGGCGTGTACAGGAAACTTATAGTAGGCCTACAGTACTCGGTAATAAGTTTCAGTTTCATATTTCATATATATTTCATCAATAAATATCAATTCTATAAACAGAGACAAAACAAAAACAGGAAGGGAGTACCTCAATTTGTTCAAATGCATTAATTAAAATACTGAATATAAAATATGTTTCTTTAGCGGTCAGTCGGTCAACGTTCATTCATTTTGTAACCAATATTGTAGATCTATACTTCACTTTGGCGGCTATGGTGTTTTTTGTTTAATCGACTTAGGATTGCTTTATTCGTGATCATTATTATAAATCGTCAGAAGATATGAAGATGACAAGAGACACACCCAAGTCACGACATATTTACCACACAGCGCCTAGACTGTTAACTACATGTATCATTTACAAATGCACATTACCTGATTATGATCGAAGATAGAAGATGAAAATGAACATTATTGTATTTGTTTGTTTTATTTCCGAAAATCATCATACAAACATTAACACAATATAGCAAAATCAAAGACTCATATTACAATAATAGAAAGATAAAACGGTTGGATATTCTATTTCAGAACCATTAATGGCTCTGTTCTTTCATGGAGTCCAATATATTTGCTATGAGAATATAATAAATAATAAAATATAATATTTATGAATAGGTAGGACCTAATTCGTTTTAATCAATGGATATACAATTTCTTGGATCTTAATCAGATAATGTGAAAGTTACACTCCAATACAAAACCATAACATTCAATTCAATGCATACACTATAATTACAGAGGGAAAGAGAGAGAGAAGGGGGGGGGGTGAGGGGTCCAGTTTTAAGACCATATTATCTGCCTACATACTGAAATCTTGTTATTATAACACAATATTTCATATTAATCATAGTTACGCAATAGACAATTAATAACAACACGCTCTTTGAATAACGAATTCATGATAAATAATTACCAAAACAATGAATAAAAAAAAACGTTGCGCTGTCTGAAAGTGTAGACAATATCAGACGTAGCAATGCTAATATGCTTTAGCAATTACCAGCTGATGGCGATTCGATGCTTGAAGAAATATGCCACCCTTGTTTGATTGGGGAAACCAACGATACGGTTTTAGGTTCATTGAGAGGAGGCGCGAAAGGCAATCATCATAGTCTATAATAACATACTGCCAATTTTCATTTTAGGTTCATCGCATTCGTAATAAGCTATTGACAGATTATAAGTTACACGAGAACGAGCTATACTTATAACTTGAGCAGATGTGATTGTTCTCATATATTATTTGCATTATGACCCTATTAGTATTGAGAAGAAACGGACAAAATCCAGGTATATATGAATCAAAATACATGACTATCATTAAGTTCTATGTGCATGGAAGAAATGTTGCATAATAAAATAGGCCTTTTCTTCCAGTTTGCACTTTAAACCAATTACAAACCTTATTATGAAATATGAGATCGTGATATCATATTTTCGACATTAAACCACAAAACCAGACGCTCACACATTAGTTTGTTATTGAATTATTTGTTCATTAAATTAATCAGTCGGCACTCAATTTGTTCGAAACGTATGGAGCTTTGTTTGATATGCCTGTTAAAGGGATCGAATTATCAGGATTTGAAAGATATTCCATCTGCTTAATCCATTTGCATTATGATACTTAATCGCTTCCGCATACTATACTGGAGATGGGAGGTAATCTCCCTGTCATTGTCACGGGAAAATCTCTATGCACTTGTTTTGCTGAACCCCGTACTTTGCTAAGCCCCGTACTATCCTTAACCCCCGGACGCGTTCTAACTTTTTTTGGCTTTTCTCACTGCAATCCTAAGCCACGTATTAGCCATAGCACCGCAATTGCGGAGTTAGCACCACAATTTTGGGGTTAGCCCTGCTATTTTGCAGGGCCAGCTAACCCCGTACTATGGGTGGGGCTAGCCCACTTTGGTAAATACGAGTCTGAACAGAAAGTGGAATAGGCTTAACCCCGGACTATAGGTGGGGCTAAGACCCCCCCCCCCTTTAACCCCACCTACATGTATAGTAAGAGGACACCTTTTTTTTTTTTTTTTTTTTTTTTTTTTTGGGGGGGGGGGGGGGGGTCTCGAAATTTTAAAAATTGACATTTTTCTCCGTAGGGGGGGGGGAGTTAGGGTCACATTGTTTAGGTCAGTCATTGGCATAATTTTTTAAAATTTGTTATAATAATAACCAAAAAAAATCTACAAATGGGGGGGGGGGGTGCGTGCTTAAAAATACACACGTGAACAAAACTAAAAGGGGGTTTAACCCCCCCCCCCCCCCCCCCCCCCCCCCCCCCCCCTGCGTACGCGCCTGGCACCGTCGTTCACCCGTTCTGTATACGTGATCACGATCCTGTGTGTGATGCTTTTAAATTCTCTTTGCGATCATGATAAAACCTGACCTCCAACCCTAACCCTAGTCTCTTCAGTGATCTTTGCGATCGTCTTTTGTTATTTTGGGGTGCAAATCATTTTAACATTAAGAAAGGACTTGAAACATAGCGGGTGGCGTAGTGAGAGCCCATCCATCATATTGAGGGGGCACAAAACGTTTAATGGAGGGGGGGGGCGGCTGCGGAAAATGGAACGCAAATTTATAAGACTACGGACATGATGAGGAAGAGGGTTCGACTCATTATGGTAGATGTTACAGGGGTCTTCTTCTCTCGTCCTTTTTTCTTCTT